ACCGTTCCGATCACGTTTGCATTACATAATGTACTGATTTTCGCCTTTCGTTATGGTTCGAATCGTAAAAACTACTTTGCAGACCGTTCAATCAAAAATCTCAAAGAAACATTTTTGATCAGTAGATAGAAATTGCCTGTCTTTAAATGGAATCCATCTAATCCCTCACAGCACAACGGAAAAAGCCACTCATTATAGAATGACGGGTGTTGACGCACAGAGAAGTAAAAGTGTAGGCGCGCTCACTTCCTTAATGAGCAAATGGAAACGTTCTTTTTAAAAATAGACTGTACATCTAGTCAAAATATGTAAATGCAAATCTTTGATTATGATAGCGGAAATGAACCCACGCAAATAAGCTGAATGAAACATAAAATGGCTCAAAACGACAACTGGCAAGAGACAACCAGTTGGATAATTACAAGGGTGCTGAAGAGCTAACAACTCCAGTTAGGGACCGACAATTAGCTAGAAAAGTGACAGGGTTGGGGAAAAAAACCATACATGAAAAACAATTCACGTAAAAAAACATTCACACATGGTGACCCAAAAAACATTTACATGCAAAGCAGAAACTCCACCACCCCCACCACCTCCCCCTACACTTTTTTAACTGTCCGTCACTTAGTGGTCACATCGGGACTCGACCCGAGATCGCGGGATTGCGAGTCCAACGCGCTGACCACTTGATCACACCACGCTAGAGAGGGGCCTTTGAAGGGCCTTAAGTTTTGACTACTAACGTTTTTTTCAGGTAGGAAATATAACTGTTAACGCACCTGTTCAGAGCAGAGTCTGTAGACTGCCACGATCTTGGCGGAAAGGCTTCGAGCATTGACAAATCCCATGGAATACAAACTGATCTCACTAATCAGTGCATAGTCTGGAACCATCATGGCAACTGTACGGAAGAGAACCTATAAATATTGATAAAAATAGAGAGCTTTAGACGCGTAGACGAGGACGACTATGAGTACGAGATTTTCTCACGCTGAGTCAGCGTCATTTTGGCGGGAAAAGGTGATAGCCGACATCATTCTGCTACTGGTTTTAGCGAGAATATCGTAATGGCGGAAACAAGTTACCAAATGTTAGAAGTTTTATCATTTTGCGATCGAGAAAGGGCTTAACCTTTTTCAATAAAGATAACAGTGCTAACTTTTCTGGTAGCAAAAAAGTACAATGAAGCTTTCCGAGGTGTCAAAACTCGTACTCGTATAAGTTTTAGAAATGGGTTTAATCAATCGAGATAGAGACCAAAATTCATTTTACAGAAAACTGAAAGAACCAGATGATCTCAAGCGAATATAAATAAAATGAAGTTTAATTACAAAGTCAAAACCACTAGAACTATAATCAATAAAAATAATGGCGACGAGACAGATTCAAGTTACTCAGTAATATTAACTCACAATTAACCTATTTCAAGACATTAGAAATGAAACGTATAAACCTTAAGTAGGCAAATTATTAATTTATTTTGTGACCAGAATATATACACTACATCATAGCATATTGCGGTTAATTTTCTATTTCTGAAAATGAATGTTCTTTCCGGCTTTGTTTAGGGATATGGTAATATTGCTAATGAATTTGAAAACAAAGAAAATACAAAAATCAATTGAAATCAAAAATTAACTGCAACATATACGTAGAATTTGGTGTATTATGTGGGTCATATCCGTTCTCAAGTTGAACAAGTTTTTCTATTAGAGATAGGAAACAAAGGCAATTTTCAGAATCGAACAAGTTTGAGCACTGGCTTACGTTCAGAATGATTTACCTTCAACATAAAGAGTATCGTATCATGGTAAAGCGGTATTTTGCTTTTGTCATTATTGACTACTGACAAGCAAGCTAGGACGGCAATGCCATAGATATGATCTCTTTGAATTGTTTCATCTTGTTCTGTTTGTCTTATGTGATCGAAACGTCCAATGTGTAAATTCGAAGGAATATTTTTAAATTGACAGAGAAAAGGCAAACTTAACCTTAGTGGTGTCTTGAATTTGACACGGTGAAATTTCCGTTTTCATGGAATGACAGAAAATAAAAATCCATTCTTTTGTCTAGTTAGTGACCTCAGGGCTCCTATTGATAGCAGGGATGCTTTGTAATCTCCCTGAAGGTACAGTCCTCAGAAATCACATGTATAGTTTAAATATAGATGTCTACCTATCTAGCTAGCTATCTATCTATCTAACGGCATCGTGCTCCTTAATAATTACCGGTAGGCTAGTAGTAGTTCTTTACTGCGCGGAGCGCCGCGCTTGAATTTACCTCTCCTGGTTAAAGGTAGCGATTTTACAGCGCACTCGCGCGGTTCATTTACACGATTAAGCGCATGAAAGTGACTGACAGTAGCGTGCACCTGTTTAAAAAGTGAACGATAAAGCAAGTTCAAGTTCAGTGAGATCTGTATTTGCTCACGTATAACCGTTCCGATCACGTTTGCATTACATAATGTACTGATTTTCGCCTTTCGTTATGGTTCGAATCGTAAAAACTACTTTGCAGACCGTTCAATCAAAAATCTCAAAGAAACATTTTTGATCAGTCAATAGAAATTGCCTGTCTTTAAATGGAATCCATCTAATCCCTCACAGCACAACGGAAAAAGCCACTCATTATAGAATGACGGGTGTTGACGCACAGAGAAGTAAAAGTGTAGGCGCGCTCACTTCCTTAATGAGCAAATGGAAACGTTCTTTTTAAAAATAGACTGTACATCTAGTCAAAATATGTAAATGCAAATCTTTGATTATGATAGCGGAAATGAACCCACGCAAATAAGCTGAATGAAACATAAAATGGCTCAAAACGACAACTGGCAAGAGACAACCAGTTGGATAATTACAAGGGTGCTGAAGAGCTAACAACTCCAGTTAGGGACCGACAATTAGCTAGAAAAGTGACAGGGTTGGGGAAAAAAACCATACATGAAAAACAATTCACGTAAAAAAACATTCACACATGGTGACCCAAAAAACATTTACATGCAAAGCAGAAACTCCACCACCCCCACCACCTCCCCCTACACTTTTTTAACTGTCCGTCACTTAGTGGTCACATCGGGACTCGACCCGAGATCGCGGGATTGCGAGTCCAACGCGCTGACCACTTGATCACACCACGCTAGAGAGGGGCCTTTGAAGGGCCTTAAGTTTTGACTACTAACGTTTTTTTCAGGTAGGAAATATAACTGTTAACGCACCTGTTCAGAGCAGAGTCTGTAGACTGCCACGATCTTGGCGGAAAGGCTTCGAGCATTGACAAATCCCATGGAATACAAACTGATCTCACTAATCAGTGCATAGTCTGGAACCATCATGGCAACTGTACGGAAGAGAACCTATAAATATTGATAAAAATAGAGAGCTTTAGACGCGTAGACGAGGACGACTATGAGTACGAGATTTTCTCACGCTGAGTCAGCGTCATTTTGGCGGGAAAAGGTGATAGCCGACATCATTCTGCTACTGGTTTTAGCGAGAATATCGTAATGGCGGAAACAAGTTACCAAATGTTAGAAGTTTTATCATTTTGCGATCGAGAAAGGGCTTAACCTTTTTCAATAAAGATAACAGTGCTAACTTTTCTGGTAGCAAAAAAGTACAATGAAGCTTTCCGAGGTGTCAAAACTCGTACTCGTAGTCGTTCTCGTCCTAGAACCTAAAGGCCTCTGAAACGTCAGAAACTGTTTAACAGGTTAAAAGAGGCCATCAAGAAGGGGGATTCTTCACAGACACATTAGGGGTATAAGCAAATGGTTTACTTATTTACTTAAAGTTCGCCAATTTTGTCAGAGTCACCGCAACAGCGCGTGACGCCAATTACTGGGGGCCCGTAACAGTCCCCTCCCCCCATCAGATAGTCGGCCTACAACCCCGGGGACTACGTCCCTTACCCTTTACAGACAGTGTGTGGGTTCTTTAACGTCCCACAGAATTTATATGTGCAAGGGTTGTGAGACGAGCACTACGGTTCATCGTCCTTATCTGAGAAGACTAGAAAGTCCAGTTATAGGTGATGATCTACGAGAAAAAAAGTCCCTGATTCATGTCAAGCCAATTCTCCTCGTCATAACCAATAGAAATCAATGGACAACAGTGTACAACAAGGTACATACTGACATCAAGAGGAAATAAGGAGAAAGGAGGTTCTTGATCGGTGAAGGCGATGGGTATATCAAGTAGAACTCCGCAAGTGCGATACATGTGACTGAGCTCACCTTCAGATTATCGGGAAGTTCAGCGCGTCCCGCATAGCCTGGGTTCATGGTGATAAAGATGGTACAAGATGGGTCCAAAGAAATTTCCGTTCCCTCAAACACAAACTTATCCACTTGTTCCATGACGGCTCGCTGAATTGTCAAGATTTGTTGAGCAACCACTGACAGCACCTAAAAACACACGTAGCATTCAGTCTAGTTCATCTTGTTCATAATTAACAATTATTGAACGAGGTTGACCAAAATATCGTGATTTGTCAGTGGCGAGCAGATCAATTATTTGCCGAAGCCGAAGGCTGTGGCGAATAATTGATGTGCGAGACACTGGCAAATCACTATATTTTGTGATAACTGAGTTCAATAATTGTTTTATCATTCGATCACCAAGTTTGTTTTTTAATGAATATCTTCGGGAAGCGAAGCGATCTGCAATTTTTCACGTAAGAAGGAGAAAAGGGTGATTTCGTTTACGCATGAGCAGAATATTATTTGCAGCCAAACACAGTCGAACGACATTGCGCCACTGAGGCGGTTTTGGCCATTAACGAACAAATTTTTTACGATAAGTTCAAAATGAAGTGACCGTATTCAGTTTCAACCCACTGATCATGATCCACGTTGAAAGTGGATTCAAAGCATTGCAAAACTTATTTGGATGCGACTATCAAACTGGGTTTCTCCCAAGATGAGAACAATAAAACATTTAACACTGATTTGAAGATCCAACTCAGTACAAACGAAACTAATTGCAAATAGGATATAACAAAACTTTGACGGCGCCAAAAAGTAACACAGCTATACAATAAGAAAATTGTTTCCTATAAAGGTTTTAAGAAACAATTGATTAAAAATGCCTGTCACAAAACCCAGGTCAGTGTTCTCTTGCAACGACTTGGTTGCTACTTCAGCCGAGTTACTGTCTTTGTAACACTTCCCAACTGTTCACGAAGCACAGCGATATAACCACAAGCTTTATTGCACAGGCTAACTAACCTCCAGTTCAATTCTGTTAAATTCGTCAAAGCATGCCCAGGCTCCTGACTGTGCGAGTCCCTTGAAAAACTTTCCCATGGCCTTGTAGTCCAGTCCATCCGAACAGTTGAACACTACACACTGTGGGAAAACAAAACATGAGTGACGAGGTGAGAGGACGTTTTGATCTAAAGCACCATTCGTTTCCTTTTAGTCAGACCCAAATACGATATGCGATGTGGAATTAACCACAGGGCTACCCATCCTTTGTACAATCTTCTGCCCAGAGTTAAAGAATTATCGAAACGTTTAAGAACCAAAACAAGCCAGTTAACCTTTCGTTTTAAAGTAAGTCATAAAAAGATTGTATTTTAAGTATTCTTTAGCTTTTCAGTTGTTGAATCTCAATTTATTTCTTGTACTAAATAAAGTAACACGACGGAGTTCAGATCTGTGGGTCCGCATTCCAACATGAACATGCCTCGTGTTGACAAGAATCTTTGTTTCACATGGACTCTTTCCACCTAGGTGTATAAATGGGTACCGCAAACACACTGCTGCAGGTCACTGTAAAATGAAAAGGTATCTTAACCACGAGGGATATAGCAATATTCTTGGGTATTTTTCTCCTGCTAATGAGCTGGGAGGTAATGGTCGTAGTGTGGGCCTCATGCCTTACCTAATACTTCTTCATTTAGTGTTGTATGCCATTTTACTAGTATGGCATTTAAGCCAACATCGATGTTGGCAGCCGTACCTGCTTAGCAACTGCTTTTGCTAGATCCTTGCAGGTTTCTGTTTTGCCTGTCCCGGCAGGTCCCTCGGGGGCCCCTCCCAGGTTTAAAAGGAGAGCACCCATCAGAGTCCTGTAAACAAGGAAGCAAAATAGGAACAAGTTATAAGAACTTGAAACCGCTGAGAGCACATGCGAGCTTGTATTGTTCTTATTTAACCCAACACAAGATCATCAACTAACAAGAACATTATATTTAAAACACTTGGCTCTAAAGGCCTCTATAAAGTTTTGCCAACTTAAAAAAGGGAAAATAAAGCTTTCCCTTCTCTACTCCCTCCATACAATGTTGTACCGCTGTTCGAGCTACCTATAGAAAACAACAAACACCCCAACTTTGAATGGAGGGGGAGGGGCAGGGATGTGGATTGTTTTGTTCTGCGAAGTTAACCCATCTGAGGATAATGCCTCAACAGTTTTGTCGCCGGTTGTAGCTAATTGTTGCCCCAAAGTAAAACCACAACATATCAACAGAGCTACAATGATCTAGAAAACAACGGCAGATATCCTTAAACTGAGAATGGACTATACGGGATAAGGGCTTAGGTTAGTAAACTATTCCCACTGATGCCAATAATTCTAAAACCACATTGGTGCCTCATGCTCATACAATATACAGGTAAAATTTGAGCATGACATTAGAAGGTAATAAGTGCACGTTTCCTAAAATGGTTAGTTTTAGATCCCCTTATCCGAAAAACCCTTGGACACCTTATGCAGTTACACAACGTAGTAGTCCATATCGCTTCGGCTTCCCTTGTACTATGGATGTGTAGTGTAACAGGGATAAGGAATACTACGTTGTTAAACCTTCATAAGGTCTCCAAGGGGTTTAAGACGCAGCAAACCTGTAACATCTGTCTGTTAAAGGTGTTATAACTAGTCTCCCGCTGTTGCCAAGGTATTCGTAGCCATATTTAACGGCTGTGGTGATCATTCGAACCATCACAGCCTTGGCTTCCCAGTAGTAACGCAACTGACTAATCCAATGGAAATCGTTTGGATTTGTCANTCATGCTCATACAATATACAGGTAAAATTTGAGCATGACATTAGAAGGTAATAAGTGCACGTTTCCTAAAATGGTTAGTTTTAGATCCCCTTATCCGAAAAACCCTTGGACACCTTATGCAGTTACACAACGTAGTAGTCCATATCGCTTCGGCTTCCCTTGTACTATGGATGTGTAGTGTAACAGGGATAAGGAATACTACGTTGTTAAACCTTCATAAGGTCTCCAAGGGGTTTAAGACGCAGCAAACCTGTAACATCTGTCTGTTAAAGGTGTTATAACTAGTCTCCCGCTGTTGCCAAGGTATTCGTAGCCATATTTAACGGCTGTGGTGATCATTCGAACCATCACAGCCTTGGCTTCCCAGTAGTAACGCAACTGACTAATCCAATGGAAATCGTTTGGATTTGTCACGCCATCTTCCTTCAACTTCGCCACCACGTCACGCGCTGAAAACGAAACAAAAAGGGATAATCAATAGGTAACCGACAACTCACACGAATCTACAATCCACAACCCTTTCTATCATGAATATAATTTAATAATGATCTTTTAAGCCCTAATAAATCGTATTTTATCAAGTTTGAAGCCACTTGTCTGCGTCTACGTGTTTCTGACAATCTCTTCTGTTCATCACTTCATTCGGCGAAAAAGAATGCGAGACAATTTATGACAGTTTAAACTACATTGCTCATGAATTTTGGCCTTGTACGTATGGTAATCGAGTGGAATAGTCAACATACCATGGACATCAATAACTATGAGCGCTCCTAAGGTGATTCGGGACATTGTAGACAGTGTTCCTCGAACAAGCTCAACTATATCCTCAATTTGTTTAGTACTTTTCCTGTAGTAATTCTCCAAACCATCTTTCTCTAACATCGCCTACAAAAGTTTTGCAAAAAAGTGCGATCTTAGTAACTGAGCCAGTCAGTAAGTAAGTGTATGTCTGTAAGTACGCTCAGTCAACTATATTAAGCGAACCTCTATTAAGCGGTCACCCTCTATAAAGGGGTCATCTACCAAAGTCCCGGAAATCATCTTACTTTAATACTGTAAAAAGTTATTTTTACTGTCCTCACTTTTACTACACAGTCATTTTGACACATGAATAGGTAAAGCCATTTTAAGGCTAATTTGTCGTGGGATAGATCTGATTTGGCTCTTTCACCGTCTTCATTTTCTAGAAGTGGTACTAAAGATTATGAGATTTTTAAGTCTCATTAAAATGATGTCAGCAATAGGAGCGGTGTATAATACTACAGTGTAATAATAGTATGAGGCCTAAGACCGACCCTTGAGGAACCCCACATGTTACGATAACTCTATTTAGCGGTCAATAAGCCACTCCCCAAGGGTGACCCTTAGTCATTCAGTAGGGAAACGTGTCTCTTCGACTGGTACCTGAGTAACTTCCATAGTCCAGTATATGATACTGGAGGCCAGTACCACTTGTCCAGGCCAAGCTAGCACCCATTCTGTCCTGGGGTTCAGTGGATAGGCGTTAACCGCTTCAGACATCACTTCTTGAAGACTGAGTTTCATCACCTGTTCAATCTGACATTCAACAATTTGAACGTAAGTTTAAAACACGTTTGCATCTTCATCTTCATCTGCATTATTTCGTCGGTTAAATTTTTTTTTTATTTTTTTATTTTTTAGGGTAAAATAGTCAACAAATAAAAACTGCTGAATATGAGGGCGCTCACCCTTAGATTTGTCAAAACTGGCTGGCCAGGACCAGTCCAGTCGTCAGGAAAATTACATTATTAATCAAGATTATCCATTATCCACTATTAATCAAGCCTAAATGACATGTACGGCAGTGATGGGTTTTATAATTATTATATTATCCATTTTGAAACCAATGGTAATCCCTGCAAATTGATTGGCTTTCAGCTGTGTGATTTATACACGAATCACACTATTTTTTGCTCTAAATCACATCTGTTATAAATCAATTTTGGTCTGAAATCATACTTGAGATTTCTTTCTGACTTTTAGAAAGCACACTAAGACAACCTATGCTACATCATACTGAGTTTATACCACAAGTGATAAAACGACATAAAAGAAACCAAGAGCTAGAAAATAAAATTTTGAGGAAAATTCTCCGCTACGACTTGTTCCGTTTTGTTCCGCAGATTCTTTTTTTTTTTGCATTTAGCTTGAAATGCAACGCAGGAGATAAGGTGCTAACATCTCAATATTTGTCAACACATTGTTCCTTTTTCCGTCAAGAGTAAACTATTAAGCGACTACAAAAGCTAGACAATAGGGAGTTTATAAGCAATGACGTTTTCGTGCGTC